TTATATCTATTGTTTCTTGTGTATATATTTTGTATTTATTGTGCATAATAATGGTGTTTTTGATATTCACACGCATGTTCTCCCCTCTCTCTCTCTCTCTCTCTCTCTCTCTCTCTCTCTCTCTCTCTCTGTCTCTCTGTCTCTCTCTCTCTGTCCCTCTCTCCCTGTCTGTCTCTCTGTCTCTCTCTCCCTCTCTCTCTGCCTCCCTGTCTCTCTCTGCCTCTCTCTCTCTCTCTCTCTCTCTGTCTCTACTTCTTTCATTTGATAGGCAGGTAATGTCAAGGAAGCCATTACTCCTTTTCATGCTGAATCGAAAATGTTCTCAATTCACACTAATTCACACACATTCCAACAAATTCACACAAGTTCACACAAATTCAAACTATTCTTAAAGTCAGATACAATGTTGATTTGTCTGAAGTACACTTTAATTTTAAAGGGCTTATAGAAATTTGTTTGTGAGACCTTAAATATACAAATTCAAACTCTTCGTTGGCACACGTGAAAGCAAATCCAGGGGGCGATTTTCTCCGGGTCACATTAACCCCGTCGGTAGTCTGAAGGAGACCTATAATTGAACGGTGTTTTTTCTTCTCCTCCTACCAGGGACTGGATATACGGAGAGACGCTGTGTCGGGTGACCCCCTTCCTGCAGAGCACGTCGGTCGGGGTCAGCGTCCTGTCCATGCTGTCCATTACGATCAACCGCTACTTCGCGATCCACATCCCGCTGCGCGCCAAGATCCTCTTCTCCAGGACCCGCGTCCACGTGATGCTGGCCGCCATCTGGCTGCTCAGCTTCTGCGCGTTCAGCCCTCTCCTGTTCATCAACACGCTGACCACCTACGGGGTGCCCGGCGTCTACACGGCGCGGGCGTGCCTGGAGGACTGGACCAAACTGATGCCGAAGCACGTCTACAACCTGGTCATATTCGTCCTGCTGTTCTTGTTTCCGCTTACGGTGATGTCCATGCTGTACTTGAGGATCTCCCTGGCGCTCTGGTCCAAGAACCGGGAGATCTTCGACAACGTGCGGAAGCAGTCCTTCATGTTCCCGCAAGTCGATCGGCTGCTCGTGCAGAGGCGCAAGACCGTGCGCACGCTCGTTCTGCTGGTTGTGCTGTTCGCCTGCTCCTGGTTCCCTTACTACGTGGTCAACATATGGTTGGACTTCAACCTGCACAGCCCCCACGTGAGTGTGGTCATCTCCTTCGTGTACCCGCTGACCCAGCTCGTGGGGTTGTCCAACTCGAGCATCAATCCCATACTCTACTGTTTCCTCAGCAACGGTTTCAGGAGGGCCTTCAAGAACTTGTGCTGTCGGCGGTCCAAAAGGACGCGCCACGGGCTTGTGATGACTGTCAGGTACAGGTGCAGCGACGACAGCGGGGTGGGTAGCGTGGAGACTGTGCTGTCCTAGGCGTGTGGTTATTGTAGAGACTGTGCTGTCCTAGACATATCGGTAGTGTGGAGCCTGTGCTGTCCTAGGCGTGTGGGTGGTGTGGAGACTGCTGTCCTAGACATGGGGGTCCTGTGGAGACTATGCTATCCTTGACATGTCGATAGTGTGGTGACTATGCTATCCTAGACATGTGGTTAGTGTGGAGTTTGTGCTGTCCTAGACATGTGGTTAGTGTGGAGTTTGTGCTATCCTAGACACGTGTTGGTACTTTGGAGAATGCGCTTTGTGAGACATGTGTGTAGTTTGAGACCGTGCTATCCCAGACATGTTGATCGAGCAGATTCTGCGCTATCCTACACTGGTGTGCAGTGTGTACATACTGTGATAAGCAAGACAAGGTGGTACGACTGTGGCGTAGTGATATTATATTGAAACAATCTTACACGTTTTTTTTTTTTAACCGACGGAGGAACATGTATGGGAAACAACAATCACTGTTTACACTGTGCAACATTTACTTCCGGGGAACCTCCAGCTTTGAATCCAATTAAATGAGGTCAGACTATTCACCAGTTCCCTCCGACAGCATCTACAAAATGTTAAGTGTTTCGCCATACTGATTCTAGCAAAAGTGAGAAAAAAAACACACACACACCACAAGAAACGACTAATGTTAGTACCATACTTCCTGTTTCAAATATTTCGTTCGAATGAATAAGAAATTATAAGGCGCTTAGCAACAATGTCGTGTGTCGTCAGAGGGTTTTTATGGTTTTTTGTGTTAAAAAAAAATTTTTAAAAATATAAATTATAAAAATATTCTTTAATAAAATAAGTTTTTTAAAAAAAAAAAAAAAAAAAAAAAAAAAAATCTGGGTCATCCCATCATTTCCGGGCGAGTCCATATTGATCGCTTCATTCTCACACAAGTTTTCTGGAAAATATCAACGTTATTTAAGGTCAGTGGGCGTGCCTTACGTCGGTGAGACCATTTGCCGAAATCTAACGAATGAGACCAGGAAATGAAAATCTCAATCTCGATTAATGTTTAAGTGTTAAATCCCATAGACATCCCAGGGAATCCAGGACATGGAAACCCATCATTTAATCTCCCACTAAAATAAATACATTTTAAAAAAAAATCCTTTCACTTTAAAAAAAAAAAATTCCCTTCATTTATTCATCGAGCGTAGTTGCCTATCAACTTGGGAGGATTTTTTTTTTTTTTTTACTGGATGTGGGTTGCTAATCCACAGCTCAACCCATCAGGCCTGACCTGAGATAAGGGAAGCTTCCTCCCCCCCCCCAAAAAAAAATAAATAAAAAATACGTCACATGGAGGAGCTCTTGTATTTTTAGAAGTAAAAGAAAAAAAAAGGAATAATATGTGGTAGAAAAAGATTTTTAAAAAACAACAACATGTATCTGTCATCTACATAACCGTTGTGTTTTTTGTTCTGCTTCTCGGCGTTGCTACGTCACGCAAACCTTGACAGTGTCTAGGTGACATGAGCCATCATTTAAAACCTTGTCATTACGCGTGACACTGTCTTCGTTTTGTGTGGCATTTGAGTTTTTTGGTGTTCCTGTCATTAAGCTGTAAACCGAACATTTTTTGTGAAGTAATCGTGGTTTTTCTTGTCATTATTTATGAAACTGTCATTTACTTGGGACCCTGTCATTTCTGTGTGACCCTGTCATTTGTTTGTGACCCTGTCATTTGTTTGTGACCCTTTCATTTACTTGGGACCATGTCATTTCCTTGGGACCCTGTCATTTATGTGTGCCTCTGTCAATTGTTGTGTGACCCTGTCATTTGTTTGTTACCCTGTCATTTACTTGGGACCCTCTCATATTCTTGAGACCATTTCATTTGTTTGTGACTCTGTCATTTAAATGGGACCCTGTCATATATTTGGGACCCTGTCATTTATTTGGGACCCTGTCACTTATTTTGGGACCCTGTCATTTATTTTGGGACCCTGTCATTTATTTTTGACCTTGTCAGTTATTTTGGACCCTGTCAATTATTTGCGACCCTGTCACTTATTTTGGGACCCTGTCATTATTTGGGACCCTGTCATTTATTTGGGACCCTGTCATTTCGTGCAACAGTCCTTTAAATTGAAAGGTGTTGTTGCTGTTATTCGGCCCTTTCATTTAATTTATTTACCCCCCCCTTCCCCCCTCTTTCCCAGCCCCCCGGGTTCGTTGTCATGGTCCTTTGGCTTGTTTNCCCCCCCCATGGATCACATTTTTCACATTATGCCGTGACCTCAACAAGCTCCACGATCACATATTGTTAATTAAAGAGAAATGATCTTGTTTCAACTTTCTTCCATTTCGTCCTTAGAGCTGCGTCGTCGCAGCCCAATGAAACCATTTCGCTTTCAGCCCAAATCGACCGTGTGTACATGTTAGCTGTGCACACCAATAATATATCTACACATGTACATACACACGATTTATTCAGTATGTGTACATACCTATTGACAAATTCAACTAATGTCATCATTTCGTGTACAGATGATCACACATACGATGTGGATCCACAGTGTCTGTACACAAATCTGTATGTGTACATGTTTTTAATATAAACTGTCAATTATTCTATTTGTGTGTTTATCATATAATGTTGCTTCTTCTTCTTCTTCTTCTATATATTAAGGGCATCCTATCCTTCTAAACAACAACAACAACAACAACAACAACAACAACAACAACAACAACAACAACAAAGCTAGTGATGTCTTATTTTATTTTGCACTGTCACAGCGAAACCGTGCGACTTAAAGGTTAAAACAAAAACGGCAATATGTTGAGTTTGCCATTAAAATAAAATACTTCTAGTGTTTCCTTTGATTTTAAAACATCTTATGATTCATTATTTGATGCATATATATTCTCTTGTTTTCTAAATAATTGTATTAATTTTTTTTTAAAATTATTTAATGCTTATGTCATATAATTTTTTTTTTAATATTTATTTTGAACAGCTCAATACAAAAATGTCGTGTATTCTTTAATATCTTCAATTATTTTTTTAATGCTTGTCACATATGATCTTTAAAAAAATAATAATTTAACAATGCGATGCTTATCGTATTTGGGTTCGTTCGTAAATTACGTCACGCAAAAAAATGACCTTTTCATACCCTCCCCCAATCGCCCCCTGTCACAAATTCTCCCCCCCCCCCCATTTACATCACACCTAAAAAAATTCAAACATTCATAAATTTTCATATTTAGAATAAGATATTAATTTATTCTTTAACAATTTCCCATAATGGACTAAGATGTAGTATTATCAGAAAACTGTGACGTAAACCGCAAAACAACGAAGTCCTCCCGTGCCGAATGTACAACGGCCACAACAGTTTTTTTTGTTTTTTTTCAATTTTCGATATGCGCAGAAGGTGTGTGCAACCGAGATTCATGGTACTTATAATACCTGAGGCAATTTCAACCTCAAATTAATGGTTTTAAAATTAATTGATTGAAGATTTTTTTTAAAATTTTTTTTTTGTTACTTTTCACTTTTTTTATC